TACATGAAACCACAAGGATTTAATCAAAAATCAAACCGTTACACTCAAAGTTCTGAATTCAAATACATCTGGAGTCCCCTTAAAAAACAAGCAAAACGGAATGACATAAAAATCTAAAAAACAAATCAAAAATTCGGAACTAGTTTCTTCATAAAGTTATTTAAATTTAATTCTAGTAACTGAACTGTGCTAAATTTAAACAGATTTTAAAAGGGAAATATTTAATTAAACAATATTTTCTAATCTTGAACGTTGAACTTTTTTTCACTCGAATCAAAGTAAAATTGAGATCGATTTTCCCCCTAAATGTTGAGATTTAACATAATGTTTTTTATTTTTCATGGTATCTTTTCAATTTAATAGAATTATTTCGTAAATCCAGTCACGACTTCAAGTGTTGGCCCCAGTTACACAAGCGTTATGGCGAAACAAATTGCTTCGAGTTCCGGGGAATTGTGCATTGGAGACCCAGACGCTCTCCGCCATCCGTAATATCCTTTCTCGGAAGGGTATCCTTTTTCTCACCCACACATTTGCATGCATGCATTTGAAAATTTGAGTGCTGCTTGCGACATGTTCTTGGGCTGTTGTTGTCGTTTCCATTGCCGCTGCATTTTTTCTCCTTTTCGCCTGCATTGTTGACAGGCGTTAAAATTTGACATACACATCGCAGGATGTGTGTGTGAGCTAGGACATTGTTTGAATTGCCCGTCGAGGTTAAGCTGTAACATTTAAAGTGTTGTCGGTTCCGTTTGCCGTTTGCCATTGTAGTTGCATGTTGCATGTTGCTGCCGTAGATGTTGCTGCTGGCTGGTGTTTAGCTCGAGTGCACTTTGGGTCCTTCCCTTTTTGGCTGAACCCCAGAAGTTGACATTCCTATTCCGAGAAGCCTCTCGGCACTCTCGGCAAAAGGTTTGAATAATATTCCGCTTGCACAACTAATCAAGGCATTAATTTCTTAGGGCATTTAGGGGTTAACCAGTGCCATGTCACACTTCCATCAGAGATTGTCGCCCAGGCTGAGGCCTAAGCTGTCATGGTGTCATGGGTCAAGTGGCCAGAGGCTCCTCCTCCCCCGCCTCCTCCTCCTCCTCGGACCCCAAAGACCCCTGAGTGTCCCTGCAACTGACATTATTCAGAGGAAGGAGGAGGTGGGCGGCCGGGCCGAGTCCATTTTCATTGTCTAAGCATTTAGGACCTCGGCTTATTAGACATTGTGGCCCCCTCACAACCTGCACAAAGGATCACAGCCACAAAGGACACCCCGGGTATCTACACAGGGCATAAATGTGTAGTTGTAGGCGTGTGCCATTAGCCATAATGCATACTCCATTATGCCGGCATTGTTTGAGTTTTTGCGCCCCCCATTCTCTCTCCTTCTTCGCTGGGCGTGTGCAATGTCCTAGAGGAATGGATGTGGGTGGTGTAGGGAGGAGAAATGGGTGCACGGAAAGAAATGGCACCCTCAATAAGGGTTTTTTAATATTTATTGAGGTGTGGTTATAAGAAAACGGTCAGAGAAGTCACTAAAGTTTTGAAATCACTTTCAATGGTACCTAAAAGTATGCAGCGGACTTTGAAAATATTCCTTCATTCCTTCCTTCCTGAAACATAAGACGCATTTAAGCCTGAGGTCCTCCGGATATCATATCATAAATATCACTGTTATAATCTATATTTTTTGGTAAATAAATCTGAAGAGTAGTGAATCCATTAAACTGTCGGCTTTAAAATATATTTCTTTGCTTTCTATCTAGTTTAAATGTACTCCTCCATCATCTCTCTGCCTAATCATTTTTTAAAATTACCATAATTGCAATTATAATATGGTATTTTGAGTGGCGCGTCCAAAGTTCAGAGCCATCTGAACTGTCAGTCAGATTCAGTTTCAGTTTCAGGTACACAGCAAAGTTAATGACAACTTGCATAAGAACACAGAAACAGAGACAGAGATGGAGAGATACAGACAGCTGCCGAGTGTCCTGCACACACATGAATTTTTTAGCATCTAGCCAGGAGTCCTTGGCCATTGGCCATTGGAATTCCTGTTGCAATTTCACTCTCCCCAGACCAGCCATGAATATTTCATGCAGCCCTCACTGCCGGCTGACTGCATTCGATATGCTCTATATGCAACCGAAAATGGTAAGACAATTATGGCCAATGGATTTCAACACTTTCGAGTCAGGAAATATTAAAGAATGTCTGTCGGATGTTGTGTTCTTGGAAGGGCCTGCAAAATTCATGGAAAAGCCCAATGAAAGCGAGATTCGAAGTGTTTAAAGTGGAGGCTCTTTTCGCCTACTCGGAATATTCACAGATTAATTATTAAGCGGTTTAGTGTGTCTCATTACGAAGTTTGCAATCGAGCAGAAATTGGAAAGTTTTCAAAGAAGGACTTCCAGGCGGAAGTTCCGCCCCCACCGGCAGCAACTGTAATTTCTTATTTTGCCTGCTGCGAATTGAAGAATTTATCTTTATTTTTTATCCCCGGTACCCAGTACCCGGTACCCGTACACTCCCCCTTCTTTTCTGGGCCCTCGAGCCGCATTGTTGTGCATTGGGCCGCAGCTGGTCTGCCATTAAATCAACAATGGCCGCCCGTACACGTGCTCGTCCTTCTGAGTATGTGTGTGTGCTCTGCTGTATTAGTTTCCCTTTTGTATGATTTTTCATTTGAGTTAAGACCTCCCCGCCCCTTTGGAGCCCCCTTCGAGCCCCACGGCCTGGGCATATTTGTGCGTATTGCAAGTGAAATTCTCTACTGCTTATTGTTATTGCCCCGGGAACATGGAAAACGATTGAGCGGGAGTGTGGGGTATGGTGGGGGGAAAATGGGGAATAGCGGGGAGGGACCGGAGGAAAAAAGGGCACACAGGACATCCCGAACACAGCGCTCGGCGCACAGGACACGCAGCAATTGAGAGTTGTTGATTGTTGCATATTACTCACAGCCCGAAAGTTCAAAGGGTCATTCTGATTCTGACTCTGAATTTGTTCTCAGCTCGGCAACAATAAAAAAAGAAGAAAAAAAGGAATTTCCGGTGCATACTCCTGGGAATAATGCTTGTATTGTTCAACCCACGCGCAGTCGGATTATTCGGACTTAAACTGATGTTTAAAATTTTAACAAGGCGCTTACAACTACGGAAATGTTTGACCTTTCCCATTGGATAGTTTTCGGATTTTATAAGGAATTTATTTCATATCTAATTAGCAAAACTTCTATGGGAAAAGAGGTAAATTTGCTTTTTCGTTTAAGTCTACATTTTCAAGTCAGTAGTAAATAATATCCGAAGCTTGTATAAAATAGTAAGCAACACTAGTTTTCCTAAACTCAGATAATTTTAGTATTTTCGACTTTTAAGGATGGGTATTCTCGATATAAAGATTAAGTCGTTCTCGATTTCAAGCTGAATAGTTTTTAGATTTAAGAGCAAGTCGTACTCGAAATCGGTTTTTGTTAGTCCAGTCCAATATTGAGATTGCACTCTTCTCGATTTATAACTACATAAATAAATTCACATGTAATGTAGATCGAAAACTGGAGTAAAGTAGGTTCGAATCACCTTAAATTGGATAATATCAAGCTTACTGGCTGCAGTTTATAAGCATCTCCAGCGGATGTGCAATTTGAGGCGGATGCCAACAATCGGGATAAAATAATTTTTCCTGCCAGGCTCATAAATATTCATGCTATAACCGGAAAACGATTAAATCGCAAAAGGTTTTAAGCTCCTTGCTGCAGCGGCAGCTCCAACTTCGGTGCTCCTGCTGCAGGAGTACTCCAATATTGATAGTAAATGCCGTAAAGTGTTCTACGGAAATTCTGCAGCCACGCGTACCCGCTGTTCCCCGCCCCTCCCCGCCTTTCTCCGCCCACTTTCCCGCCCCCTTTCGCCACTGCCTTGAGTTTTATGCAAGCATGTGGAAAATTCCAACGAAGTGCGGTCATTTTAATAACAAAAAACATCAGCTCTTTATGCACTCAATGCTCCTCGTTTTTTTTCGCTGTTCGCTGCTTTGGCTTCTATTTACTTGTTTTTTTTTGTTTTTTGCATTTTATGACTTTTACTGTTGTTGTTAGCCGAGCAAAACTTTTCCAATATACCAGTGTGCTTTTTGTTTTTCCTGCTGCATATTGTTGTTGCTCCCCGTTGGGTTGGTTTTCCCCTGCGAGAGTGTGTGTGTGGGTGGGTGGGCGGTTGGCTCTTAGGTGGCATGTGTGTGTTTGTGTGGCTATCACAGTCGGTTGGTTTAATTTTTAAATCACACAAGACAGTTAATTGATGGAGGGTTGGAAAGTGGTGTTAGGGACTGGGGATTCCAATATGTGTGAACGAAATTGCAGTGCAGATTACTTTGCCCTCGGATATAGGGTCTGAAATGAAACTAAAATTTGTATTGATAAATACCTAAGTACGCTTTAGCAAATTCATCTTTAAGTCTTCGCCTTCTTAAATATCAGCTTACCACAGAGAACCAAGGACTTTCACGCTAAAAGATTAAATGTCGTATAAAATCTAGACTGCAAATCTCTGGTTAAGTGTCTTCTTCAATTGTCACTCTTAAATCTGGGTTGAAACCTCTTAAAAACGTCGTATACCAGATCCTTAAGTTTTATTATTCCGAAATTACTGTCTCTTTTATGTTATTTTCATATGCGGTGTCTTGCAAGTGGCAAGTTGAGAATCAAGATATCATCGTCATTTTAAGATTATAAAAATCTATTATTCGAATTTTAAATTATTTTTCTTGAGAAGGAAGGAAGAGTTTACTTTTTAAATTGTGTATTTTTGATATTGAGGTAAAGTCTTCTCGGTTTCAATATCAAATCGTTCTTGATTTCAAGCTGAATTGTTCTCGGATTTCATAACTAATGAATAACATTTTTCCCAATAAGTTGATGGATTGTAGTATTGATAGAATGACCCCTATATTATTTTCCTCAATTAAACTTTAGTATTAACAAACATTTTCAATCCCTCTTTCCTTCGCAGGGTCAGTGCTCGGCTGGAACACTGCCCATGGCCTGGGTCGATGAGGGACCCGGGCCCCCAACCTGCCCCCGATCCTGCGCCGAGCAGCAGCAACTGAAGCCAGCGGCCTCCAAGGCGAAGCGGAGTGTCAACAGTAATACAATAAATAAGGTCAAGTATTTCGTAAACTATAAGACAGCCCAGATGCGTTTGCGCCGCGGTGGTGACTACGCGATGGACGCCACCGATGGAAGCCCATCCACATTGCCGAGCAGCACCACCGACCAGGATGTGGATGTGGACATGGACATGTCCTCCTCCACCACCACTGAGGAGGCAGTGCCACCGGAGCCGACGCTGTCCTACAGCCATCTGCATGCCCAGGAGCCGGTCCTCATCCAGGATCCCCATCCTCAGGCGGAGCAGCAGGGGCAGGAGGAGCAACAACAGTGCCTTGAATATCTGGGCGATTCCGCCGAGTCGAGTCCGCAGCACCTGTGCGGCCTCCAGTCACCTGGTCATCTGCTGGAGCGGCTGAGGCTCCTGCGGCTGCGCAACTGCTGCGAAAGGAGCGTCTTCAGTGCTCTGCACACGCTGGCCCTCAATGCCAGTCTATCGGATCGGCAGGAGTGCGTACGCGTCCTCAGCGATCTGCTGGACGTGGACAACCTGGCCAACAGGATCACCTGCGAGCTGGCCGAGATCCTGTTCCGCTTCGACTGCCGGCAGGTCTACTCGCTGATCAATCAGTGCGACGATTGCAAGGTGAGTTTGGGGTTTAGTTTACTTAAAACTTCCTTCTTCCCTCCTAAACTCCCTGGTCCTTAACCCATCTAATCCCCCAACTTCCCACTCTTCAGCTACACCCTTCCCAACCCTTTAACCCAATTAAGCCCCAAACCTCATTCGCTTTCCACTTTGGGCCGGGCCGAAACTCTTCCGCACCGCGTGACATTTTTAGCTGCTCATTAATTATTAAAGTTGAGCTGCGAAAAAAGGGAAAAACTGAAAACAAAACCAAACGAGAAAGGCCCTAAAACAGCGATTGTACAGAGAGAGAAAAGGAAAATGCTAAATTAAATTTAAAGTTATTTTATTATGATTATTAGGTTATAGGTAGTTTAAAACGATCACTAAAATTCCGATAAATCGAACTTAACGATATTTTCGATATCATATCGAACTTTTCCTCTCGAGAAACTTCCCTAGTTTTAAGTTTCCGGTTTTTAGGATAAAGTTTTAGTGCTGTATAAAAATCAGCACCATTTTTCGGTTCAGTGTCTGACCAAGGGACAAGCTAAGCTCTTAAGGTCTATAAGTTTATCTATTTGTCAGCGGGTGGGTCCTCCCACCTAGAAGCTCCACAGGCAAAGCAACTGTCAGAAATAGTAAACTTTAATCCTCGAAGAGCAGAGCCTTGTTTGCATTTAAAATTGCCATCGCTTCTCTCAGTGCAAAGCTCATTGAGGGCTCATGCCGCTTTTGGCCCATAACCGAGGACATAGCAGGACAGGACTCTTGGCCAAGGATTCATATTTCAGACTCGTAATTATGGGGCCAGAATGGCCACAAAAGAGACGCAGGACTCGGCGTTTGCGGTTAATTTGTGGCACTTAAGCTCGGCTACTGCAGTTCGGTCGCTCATTTTCGGGCCAACACACATAACAACACCAGATTTTGCAGATTTTCGGCTGCATATTTGATGTGTCTGTTCCATATAATTGGTAATTATTCGTCGAGTGGCTGGCCAGAGAGATTCCCCTTCCTTTCCTTAACCTGAAAACCTGAAAACGTGAAGACTGTAAACTGAAACCTGAAATGAAATGGCTGAAGGGGCGAAGCCGAAGCGAAAAGCTGGCTAAAACAATGACTACGCTAATGAGGGTCTCTGTGGGTAAAGGAAAAACCTTTTGAATACTGCAAAATCTCTGAGAGAGCGAGGCAGTAAAAAAACAGAAAATAACAGAGCTGAAAACAGAAAACAGAAATGTGAATTGCGCTGATTAACAAAACTTGAGGCAAATGCTAAGCAGACGGCAACAAAACAACAACAACAACTGGGGCCAAAAATACACAAGATGTGAGTGGAGAAATGAAGGTGGAACGGGGGAGGGAGGGGCTGACTCAGGGGGTGGTGCTTCAGGTGCTAGGGGCAGACATATGTACACACACAAATTTAAATTTAAATTACGCATACGCCTGGTGGCACACATTTAATGCGCTGTGCAGCCACAGAGGCAACAACAACAAGGGCTTTAAACTAACCGAAGGATAGGCATTGAGGGGGTGCAGAGAAAGGGGTTGGAGAAAGGAGAAGGGAGAAAGGAGAAAAGAGAATCAGAGCAGCAGCCTTAACATAATTCTAGTTCGAAAATGGCTCTCTCCAACTGGAAATCAGTAAGCAGAGAGCTGCTGAGAGTTTTCCAGGACCTCTTTTCACTCTCTTGCGGTGTCAGCAGAGCACACTCTCTCTTCCTCTCGGCTTTCCTGGCTTTTGGGGATTCTGCAAACTTTTTCGCAGTTTATATAAGTTTCAACAGGCCAGTGATTTCTTAATAAATTCCACAAAAATAATTAAGAACCCGAAATAATATGCAGCTATTATTTATAAATTAAGCCTTAAATTTCATAATATTTAAAAGGTTGAAAGAGGCAAGAAAAATAAATGATTTTTCCACATTTGAATTTTTAACTGCGCGCGCTTCTCGTGTCCTTTCTCGCTCTCCTGTTGGCCATTCAGCGGAGGGTTCCTTGGCTTTTCTTTTCCAAGTTGCCAGATTCCAGTACAAAACACGTTTTTGCACATGGCCCGACCGAAAGTTTGGACCTAACCCCCCCACTGCCAGTGTATCGGCAGTATCAGTATCACTGGGCGGCGCTATCACCCATGGTCCAGTTAACCGATTTAAATGGCATTGGCTGGCCCAATGCATATTTATATTAATGATTACTCACCTTTCGGCACCGCAAACTCTACTAATTAGTCGCAAAGGGCTTGACATTGCGGCCAACCGCAAAGGGAAAACCCATTGGCCGGAACCGAGCCTCAAGGCAACGTTTTCTGTGTCCTCAGTTGCGGTTTGGAAAACAGTTTTGGGTGCAGCACTTCCCCTGAAAACCAAGAAGTCGTTTTGATGGCCTCATCATTGCGGCAATTCAATTATTCTTGGCATATTTGTGGAAATTATAATGGTTTTTAAGGGGCAGCATATTGGGGAGAAAATATTATATTGATGGTGGGTTAATGCTTTTTAGAACTTGACCCTTGAATAGAGTGTTACAGGCAAATTTTAAATGATCATTATTTAATGATATTTTATAGTTCAAACTGCAAGAATTTGAACTATTAAATTGTATAAAAATTTAACAAATCAAACTAAAAATTTAACGTATATTTTAGTTATATTTCTTTAATGATATAGTTTAGTATTAAATTAAACCAATAAAAACAACAATTTTGCTGACATTTTTGTTAATTTATTAGTAAATGCAAACACATAATCAGCTGATAATTCAAAAATCAGTGAAGGACAAATAAATATTTGCCACTTTGCTTAAAAGCCAATTAGGTCTCTAACGAATAAATAACAAATAGATGAGCCTGCCGAAACACATGCATATTTATGAGATAACTCTATTATGCACGTAGTCTCAATAAAGCATTGACCTGCAGAAACTTAAACTTCACCTGAGAACAAAGGAGGCAAAGTTCAAGCTTCTTACGGTTTCCGGTTAATTGAATCAATTGTTTAGTCAAGATGTGTGTATTGTGTATATTTTCCAAATTGGCCTGAACCTTTATTGGTATTTGCCGTCATCACTGTTTGCCTCTGCTGCCTCGGCCATAATCTATTTCCATCGAAGATTTCGATTTCGATTTGATGTGGAGGATTTTCTCCCGCCAGCGTTTTTGTTTCATATACTCGGTGTGTAAATTTGCATTTTACATATAGACACATATCACATAACCTTACGTCATCGAAGGAGCTTATGTGTGGTATAGGGATTGTATTTTGTGTGGAAGGAGCCTGTGTCGGCGAAAGAAAATTGTCAAAAGCGGAAGTAGCGTAATTTCATAAATGATTGATTACAAACACTTTACACGCATTCTCACTTATGTACGCCAATCACACACAGCCAGCCAGCCCACACACACACAGTCACATGCATATCCTGCCGCAGGATAACGCTCTGTCCCTCTCTTTCCTTTCTCTCCCATATTTGCTTAGGTGTTTGGGCCATAAACGATTTGTTGCTGTTGTCGCCTGGCGACAGCTGACAACACTGAGCTGAATTACACTATAGCCGCGTTTTGTTAGGTCCGCTTTGCACTTCTTTATCCCCCGGAATCCACGTCCTTCCACCCCCACCACCCCCCCCTTTGCGGCTGGACACATGTGTGCGACGACAGCCAGGAGAAAAACTTTCTGTGTTCCAATAATCTTTCCACCCCTCCATTTGTTTCCACCTTTTTTTGCATTGGCATTTGGCTTGGCTTTCCTTCGCCCGGTTATCCTGGCTTTCCTAACCATCCCCGTGCCGCCCGCCTCCTTCGCAGCCTGCCACTTTGTGCAATCTAGCAATTTATCGAGTTCTGCGTGGGCGCCGCATCTCCAGATTATAATCCTGCCGAGGGTGGAAGCAGCTGGCCCAAGACTCCAGATTGATAGATTTCACTTTGCGGTGCACGGTGGATTAAAGAAAAAGTTGATTTAGCCGAGATTCCTGGACAAGATGGGTTCGCACTGCTGAGTTCTATAAATATGCTTGGAGGAAGTAGGCAGAATAAGTCATATAAATATGTTTCAGCTGGGATGTGGCCCTTCTTGAAGGGAACAATTGTATTACTAACACGCGTCTTTGAGTTATTTCGGAATTTCCGAATACTGATATTGATTTCTAAAAAATTTATTATTATATTTATTTTGTTGATGATGGAATAAATTATAAAACTTTACATTAAATGTAAGTTCGATACCAACGGGATACAGCAGAATGTCTGGAAAATGGTTACAATCGATATCGAAATGTGTGGTTTTCATCGCCTACCCAGCAAACAGCATTTGGGTCACATTCCGCACGTCCCACTCCCCACTTCAAGCCCATATAAAACTTTCTCCCCTGATTAGCTCCAAAAAGAAAGAACCCCCCTTGAAAACGGCAGCAACTTTCGTTTTTGGCCCTCAGAAAAATTGCGTACACGCCATGTAGGCCGAGTTCTGGGAAAAGTTTCGTTTCGTTTCGGTTAAAAGCCCTACTCTTTCTGGCAAATGAATGGCGCAATGCAGCGCAAAATTGGCCAATTCGAGGGAGCAGAAGAAGAAGAAGGAGCGCTAATGTGACCAAGGGAAGAAGAAGAAGAAGCAGGGGGAGGGGGTTGGTACATCAAGCAGCAGCAAACGATTAATCAATAAAACGAAGCCTGATGAGCAGGACACAGACAGGCGGACCGCAGGACAGACAAAAGGGTAGCAGCAAGGGCAGCAGCTGCTCCTTGGGGTCCTTCTCCCCCCACCCCCTTTCACCACCCATCCCCCCTCACGGGGAATCACCTCCAGCTTCGGGTGAGCTGCTCCCACGTTGACTGACAAGTCTTTGTGCAAACAGACGCACAATCCCACTCACAAACACACTCGCAAATAGGGACAACACACACACAGCGACCAGTTCGTTGCTGACACAATATGAAAAATGTTTTTTTTTCCCTCTTTCCAGGGGATGTGGGGGCGACGGGGCCAAGGGGCGGGGCAGGGCATGTTCGTAAT